TAAACGTAATAAAACACATCAGTCATCGGTCCGGGGGAACCTAGCTGTTTACAAATACACGCACGTCAGCTGTCTGCTACAATATTTTCGGAACTAAAATGAATAGCGCTTAGAGACAGACCTCTGGAGAAAGCTTAGAATATTACGGAAAGAACGATACCTAACTCGATCCAGTTCAATCCGATTCAGTCAGTCATAGAGCCTTCGCCGTAAACGATGTCTGCGTGTCGAAAAATCGACAAGTAACACTACACAAAGTGTGCTGCTTGTCGAATTTTCGTCAAGTAACACTGGGAGGGTTAAAAATTTTAAACTTATTTTCTAAAAAACTGAAACCCTAAACTAAAATTATGACTTTAACATTCCCTAGATCTAAAAAATTATCTTTCTTTTAACACAAAAGCCATAAAAATCCGTCAAGTGGTGGATTCAGAATCGTGAAATAAAAACCCTCTCACGTTTTAATATATATGAGATGTACTAACAGACCAGGGAAGCTGTAATAGATAATATGAGGGAGGTGACACTTTGTTTGAGTTAATTTTTTAAAGCTGTCTCGGTTAACAACTAGTCCTTTTCACCCATTTGGATGGCTTCCACTAATACATTAACTTTTTAAGCTCCAAAGCCTAATGTACTGTACTCTAGAGTACTTTTTTTTGTGACGTGAGCTTGATGGGTGAAGCCAATTAACACAATTAATTATTGGTGGATGGTTTGATAAAAGCACAAAATAAATACCTAACCCAGAACTTTTACTGAGCATAAACAGTTGTATTTGAATCTACCAGTGTCTACACCAGAATCAAAGGTCACTGCCGTTACTGGCTGGCGGGCCAGGCTGGATACCAGATAGGTCTATGCTCAGGTAAGAGAACTGACGTCACTACACTGTTATCAGCTGATCAAAGTTGACACAGCAGTGCTCCTAGATTATGGTGTAAATACTAGCAGATTTAAAATTCTTTATTCTCAGTCAGATTGGGTTAGGTCTTCATTCTGTGGTGAAAGTTGACAGAATAGGTGTTATGGTTGAACCTCAAACAAGTATTGTTTGTATCTTAATGTTCAAAAGTCAGAAAAGTCATGAATTATCAGAAAAGAGTTAAAACACAACTTCAATAGTTATTTGTGTAACTAGTGAGCAAAGTGGCACTTTGCTGCACACGAGAGCGGCTCGTGCGGAATGATCTCGAGTGCAGCAAAGGCCTTTTGCACTCGTGTTACACATTATATTTTTCCTACAGTCACTATAAAGCATATAAATAATTAGTCTTTCAAACACTATACAATACGATTTTAGGTTCAGCTGGCACCACAAATAGGTGCCCTAGAGAAAGAGGTCCCCGGTCCGTATCACTCCGCTATTTTTTCCTCGGCAAGCAATGTGCTCCGGGACTTGAGAAAATAGTTCCGTATATTTTTGTAATTTGCAGTGGTTTCCGTACGTAAAAAAATGCTTAAAAGGTATTTTCTTGTTTATTAAGATAGTAGGAATGTTTTAAAAACGTTTAAAAGAAAAGTCCAGAAAGTTAAGAAATACCGAAAAGAGAACATAAACTATAAACACGAAATGACAGGTTAAATCGTAGTTATAATAGTCAATCTGCTGCTCATAGTATTATTATCTTTAAGTGTTGCCAACTTATTTCCAAGCGTACACGGATTACGTGCATAATAGAACCACGCTGTTTTGTTGGAATCCTGATGTGCGCCAAAGTATAAACCGTACGACAAAGTATAAATATGTAGCAATTAGCAGCTTTCTGTACTATAAACAGTACAAGGAAGCCAACTTTGTCGGGTGACTGTAGGAAAAAGAAAATTACTTTTGATTCAGTTTGCCATCCCTGCTTTCAGTGCTTTTAAAGTTTACCTAAAGCAGGTTTACAAGAGTATTTGGAGTTGTGTAACTTGTTTGTATGGAAGCAAGCTAATTGCTTTCTTCTGTTCTGCCTTTGCCAGTTGGCATTGCCAGACATTTTTGATGAGGGAGAAACTGTTCAAGTGCTTTTGCAAGGTGAGATGTAAGATTTTACCACCTGTTTCAGTAAATCTGTATTACTTTAATTTTGTTTGATATTTAATTTTTAAGAGGTTCTTTTATTCTTAAGTATTGCATGAAATACGTTTTAGTTTGGGCACAATCAAACCTTTTTGTTTTGAACCTTTGACTATTTGTACTATTAGATACTCTCTACAGTGTGCTTAACATGAGAATGTTTGGTTTACATCTGAGCGTACAATTTTAATAAATAATTATGTTTTTACTTCTTTTCAAAAATTTATGACACGAAAATTTGGAATAAAAATTCCCGACTGTCGGGGATGTCTGCAGATTGCTTCAGAATCCTACTCTGTTTAGAGTTTAAGAAAAGAAAACCATACATTTCGGGATAAATTTCTGATTTCCGGGCAGAATTTTTTTTTGGACGTCTGCCAATTGCTTCCGCATTCTTGCCAATTGATTCAGATCAGACCCTGTGGAAAAATGGATTTATGCTTACAAATTTTTAAAGGCTTATCATGCCGTGTTGAAAGTTTTGGACAAGCCATTGTAGAATCAGTAGGCTTTACTGTAAATTGTCTGGAAACTATTTTTCCTTTTCAAATCCTTTAACCCTCCAGTACACATGCGCGGACTGGCATTCCGTGTCCTACTTCTTACTGGAAACGCTCTTTTATACCTAACTAACTGTTACCCACGGGGTTCACCCTGCTTGACTTCATAAGTACTAATAAAACTATTGACTGGTTTGAAATAAACAAAACAGAATACTGTAATACAAACAAATAATCACACTTGATTTTAGGTAATAAATTGAAAGAATAACAAACAAATAAGTACAGCTGAGGTATTTTTAACATTTGGTACATGGAAAGTTCCCTTTAATTATGAAATATGAATATTTATGAAATAATGGATAGTTTTGCGCAAGGTATTCTCGTCATGACGAACATTGTTAAGTATATGGTTATGGGGATGTGACTTGTAGTTTTCGCAAAAGCGGATGAGTACTTTGGGATTTATGTATGGATAAAGTCCATATAGCATCAAAATTTCATATAATCCAAATATAGGTAAATAGATATAGATAAATTTCAAATTAATTACAACTATTTTAAATTGAAAATGTCCTGTTGAAAACCAATTAGTCAATCGCCGGCCTGTTCTTCACCCTCTTGAAACATGACACGCCTAACTTAACACCCTTGTAGCTCAGGGCCAACTGACGCTAAGACGGTCAAAACACCGCCATTGTCCTTGGAAAGGTAGATGGCACGTCATGTCATTAGCTCGCGGATTCACTTATTTCGGCACGCTTTTTCAAATGTGCAGAGTCCGCGGCGCGTGTACTGCAGGGTTAAAATAAAATACCGAGCTGTATTGAGTTTGACAATGTTGTGTACCGCAGTCTTATCTACGTCTACTGCTGTATAATTATAACTGTGTAGCAGCAGCACTAAAAGACAACAGTTATCGCCTTTCTGCCGACAAAAAAACCAAGCATGTTAAATTTACTATAATTTCTTGCTATCTAAGTGTTTTTCTCAGTTGTGTTGCTTATTATGGTCCGTTGAATGAATACATAGGTTAATAATGTTATTATCGTACTTTACTTCCCAATTTCATTATATAGAGGTTTTCAAAAAGAATCATCCGATTAAAAAAAATCATAACTACTCATCCATGAATCCAATTTGATCAAACAATATATTGTTAGAAAAAGGAAGTTCTCAAGTTTCAGGGAAAATATTTAAAAGTCCTGTTTTCAAATTTTCATCCCCTCAAAAATTCAAAATGGCGGACCTCTGAAAACGACAAAACACCTTTTATTAAAACGGCTATAACAAGAATCCGGTAAGAGCTAGCAAAGATTTGAAAGAATTTTCATGGTCAGGAATTCAATTTTCTACAAGACACTCTTAGCCGTTTTCCAAAAATCGCACCCCTTCACCCCAAAAAATCGCCCTACTTTTAAAAAATTGGCATTTATTTTTAAATTTTCAATCATTTTCACCCCTTTTTTTTACTTAAGTATATTTTTATTGTGCACATATCCTGTGCATCTAAAGGGGGCCATATTGAGCACCTGTAAATGGTATGTAGAAAAACGTTAGTTACTCTTTAATATAAAATTAACCTCATGTCCATAATGATTATTAGTTTTCAAATTAAAAACCTAAGAAATCGGATTATTCTTTTTGAAGGACCCTATATAATTAATGTGCTTTAACAAATTGTATTTCCCAAAAAAAATAGAAGGAAAAACCCTGCCCGTCTCGAACTTAAATTTCAGTCTCTAACACCCCAACTTCATTTTCATTTTTTAAGTGTCAAAATAGCTACCAATTATGTTGTGTTAGTTGATTAGTTTTCTTTTCTAAAATGTGTGATTTTTACTAACATAGACTTCATCCACCAACAATTTGTTTCCCTGCAACAACCTCATATGTAAAATTAGAATGCCTAGAAACTTTTCCCCTAAGCTTTAACTTGCTTAAGTTTTGCAAAAATAAATTAGCCTGTGGCAATAAGTATGTCTGCGACATCTTATCATTGTACCTTTTTATGAAGGGTTTTTGTTCTTGTAAAAAAATACTAAGTTAAACTTCTGCAAATACTAAGTAAATTAAAAGACTACATTTAAACGATACGCCGAACACCCAAGTAAGAACAGACCTTCTCTGTTAAGTGTGGCCGGCTTAATTCTCTGAGTTGTTTTAAAAAAGTCGTTTTATTTAAGTCAATATGTGTGTGTTGACAAAGACATTTGGATGTCAATTCGGAATCTTTTGTCAGACTTGACACAATGGGTCACTCGGGCTGGAATTAGTAATCCACTAGATAATCTAAAAATATTGAAGACAAAGTACATCAACCTTTATTTACTCCAATTTATCAGTCTTGGTGGCAAGAGTTTTTAACTTTTAACTTTTTAACTTAAAGTTGCTGTGAACAATTATTGAGCTCTCTAACATATTAATTTTCCCTGCAGGGAGAGGTGTAAGCTGAAGGTTGGCACTATTGTGAGGGCTGCTCGACGGCGCAACGGCCGACCTAACCTGGTGACCAAACCATATCCTCGCTCAACCGTCATCGCTCTGCGAGCAATCAAGTGTCAAGCGACTCAACGCTCATTGCCTGCCTCCAGCCAGTAGAAACTATAGATCAAATCTTGACGAACTAGTGTTTTCAATGTGATATTGACTTAAGTTATAAGGATAATCTACTAAATAGGCCTGATTGAAAAACTGTATTGTCCATTTTTTTTTATGCTGCAAGTTACAGCTTTCACTTTTTTATGTTCATAAGTTACAGCGTATATTTTTTTATGTTAGGTTAGTGACAAACCAAAGGAGATTTGAGGCATTGATACTTGTGCCTTAGTAGTAGTTGAAACACCGGTGGATGGTTTAATTTTTTTTCACACCTGGTTATAACTCACTGATTTACTTCTGTGATTCAGTTATTCCATGAATTTAAAATGTTTAAGGTTTTAGAGTTGTACAAAAAAGTGATCATGTGTGTTGTTCTAGCGTAGGTTGGATTTTAGCGTAGGCGGAACTTGGATTCGTTATGCCCAAATGAAGTTATATGGTCTAACTATGAACAATAAATTATTGCAATTCAAATACCTTTGTTACCCTTAGTTACTCAGGGTTTCTCATTTAACATTTTGGCCAACCAAAACTAGTGGTATTCTCACTAGATTACAGTCCTTAGGCCGTGTTTACACAAGGCCAGTTGGCATGCAGGTTACTTGCCTCTGGTAACTTGAAATACATTAGAGCCAGGTAACCTGCCTGCTGTACTGGCGTTGTGTAAATGCGACTTGTTACAATACTTTGTTCCGTAATAAACATTTTTTTAGTTCATTCAATCAACTGCAACGTAACTATTAAAATTAAATCAACCAGTTACTTTAACATTTTTAAATACTTGATCAGTTTTATACTTAGATCAAAATATAGTCAATTCATGAATACAAAAGGAATGTCAAGTAAAACATAAGCATCGTTCATGAGAATCATGGAAATAAAAACAAATACGAATTTTTTATTTGTACAAATTTTTATTGTAAAATATTGTATGCTATAAGAATTTGAAATATCACAGTGTAAAAAAATGTAGGCCAATACTATAAAGCTAAATGTAACAATCTAAAACTTCTACAATGACTAGTTCTACAAGGACTAGTTCATTTTGTTTGTATGATTTATTATTTTTTAACTGTTTCCTCAAATTTAAGGAATTATGTTTACAATATGTGCATGTGTGTAACATCATGATCGATCAATTACGAGGTAACATCGTTCACAGGGAGATTATAAAGGGGCAATTATTTAGTGTGGGAAAGTACATGCGGAGGGAAAAGCTTCTGAGCTAACCCTTCATGGGTGTCACAAGGAGTTTTCTTACTAGTATTGAAACATTAAGACAAACAATGTAATTTTTCCTACAGTGACCTAACAATGTACATCTTCTCTCACTGATTTGAGAAAGCAAAGTGGCCGATTCGCTCATCAGTGAGACAATGTTAACATTGTCTCACTCTAATTACTTTGTCTCACTCCAGATTTGCAACGTGAAGGCACGAAATAGTGAGCGCGTAACATGCAGGCAACGTCGTATGCGCGCGAAATACGTTGGCAGCACTGGCTGTAAATCAGCTGGTCAGCTGTTGTACTGTTGTATTTGTCACTTCACATTTAATGTTATATTAAAAGTTCACTTCTGTGTAAAAATAGGTTATGTTTCTTCACCAATTTATTTGTTTTTAATTTTACCTACGACCGTTTTTTAAAGTAGCCATTTCAGTCCAGTTCTTAGAATTGAAAAGTTTCACTTTACAGCTGTTTACTTTCATATCCGCATAGTTTTCTCATATCCACACAGGTAACGGACCAATGATGTTCAAGTATTGAGAGAAAAGAATTAAAATTGTACTTCGAACGTCAACTAATCAGCTGATCAGTTGACCAATTTAATTGTTTATCCGACTTGTTCATGTTTCTTAATTAAGTTGGTGGAAGTCCAAAAATAAATGAAATATTTGCCGAATTGTACCTGATACAATATTATTTATGGTAAGAATGCTGCTAGCAATGTAATATTTAACGAAGTTTAACAAACACGTAATTACAGGAAATCAGCTGATTATACAACAAGTCGTTGCATCACTTTCAGTGGCAATGACAATACACGAAAACATAACCTCTCTAAAAAGTTATCAGTAGTTATTGTTAGTAATTAAATCCAGATTGATAGTAATTAAAAAACCGGTCGTAGGTAAAGTAGTGTACGCAACTCGCGTTAATAGTCTTTACAACACTCGTAGAAGTTTTTAAGGCACTCGCCAAGGCTCGTGCCTTAAATTTTCTACTCGTGTCGTAAAGACTCACTTAACGCAATCGTTGCGTAAACTTCTATTATACATGTTATAATAGTTACAAAAAGGTATAAAAACCCCATATAATCAATAAAAGTGTACATTAAATCGATAAAAAACTTGACCTAGAAATATATTGCGAACAAAAAACAACACCACTATAAGTAACACACGGGAGCACGTGGATTAATATAGTAGGCCTACCGAGAAGGGAGGAGAGCAAAATTATGATCTCCACTCGGTTCTCAAAAAGAGGTGTGTGAGGAATGGTTACTCTTGAAACTGCCAACCAGCAGTAACGCATATTTTTCTTTAAAAATAAAGGCGTTAGAGGAAAACTCTTGTTACGACACCTATGAAGGGTTTATTTGATTAACATTTAAAGTAAAAAATAAACTAAGAATATTGGCATTACAATATAAATGAGGTGAGGTGAGAATAATTTTCTTTTGCGATATTGCTAACTTTTTCTTCATCCCATCAATTACTTATTGTTTTGAAGAAGAAAAAATACATTTTGACAGTTGTGTAGTTTGTTTGGAGTTACCATCAATTTTAAAATGTAATTAATTGTTGAATAAAACTGATTATTACATATCCCTCAACCACAATTTCAGGTTCGTTTACAAAAGTAGATTGAATAACATTCTCAAAAAATAAACTCAGTCCTTGTTAATCTCCATAGAGATTTAAAAAGACGCCCGTTGGTCGCACTTACAAAATGCTTAAACATGTATTGGATGGTTAACAAATCGTGATAAAATTTGCGCTAATATAATAACAATTAACCTTTACAAGCTTATTTACAGTAAAAAGTACCAGCCTACTAAACTGTTCAGGATACAGTGTAAATATACAGACAGTAACAGATTATATTGATAGGCCTACATGATTATTTGTATTGCGCTACGATGGATCATCCGACCCAAAAGGATTTTTTTCCTCAGGATAGTCGTCTTCTTCAAAGGGATTAGTGGGAGGTTTTCTGGGGGCCGGTCCTGCTTTAGGAGACAGGATGGCTTCACTCAGGGAGTCCCTCGGATCCGGGAGTCTCGGCCCTGGATCTCTTGAAACTTGGTAACTCGGCTTGGGACTCCCCACAGTCTTTGGACTCTCGCTCTTTGGCTTTATTGGAATGCTTTGTGGTGCTGGAAAAAATTCTGAAAGTCAATAACATAAATTCAGGTTTAAATTTAGATGCCAATAGATAAATTCTGTGTGTTTTAATCATGATTTACTTGCAGCCATTAAGCCATTTGCAAAGGGTTCTCTTGTTGTATATATACGTCTATATATAAAAAAAATAAAATATAACAAAACTCCCATATAGATTTATCATTGTTGTAGTTCAACTGACGGGGAGCGGTTACTTATTGTTTGTCATTCTTTTCTTGTGACTACACTTATTTTAAAACTATTTTAACAAAATCATTTAAATAAACAAATAGCGTGTCCTCTCTTGTGGTTACATAACCTAAATAAATCACAAGTCATCAAAGCTGCCGTGTAGAAAAAAATGTGCATTGTTCGTGTGTGTTTACTACGAGATGAATAGGAAACCCCGCTGTAATATCTGTGTTACACTTTGTTTTCTAAGTAAATTACAACAGGGAAATCTCATGACAAAGAAGAAATAAACCAAATACAAAATCAGAAACTGGATTACCTGTGGCTTTAGGTTTGCTTGAGCTTGCTTTATAACTTGCACCAAAACCTAAGCTTTTGTCTCTTTCTGCTTTTTCATAAGTTAAAGGTAAACTGCTTGGGGGTTTTCTGGGGTTGACTGGGACATTTGGTACTGTAAGACCTGAAAAGATGAGAAAACCATTCATCAAACAAAACTTATATCTGATAACATACCACAGAGAAGTAAGATTCAGAGGAAACATGCTTATGGAACAACTGTGCACTTTAAGCTCGGGAATGGTGGGGCGGAAATATACTAGTCCCGAGCAAGGAAGAGCCCAACGACTTGTTTACAACAGCCGTTGTAGCGCACAGGCTCTTCCTACAGTGTGCACTCTAGTACGTGGCGGGAAGGGGAGAGGAGAGCAGAAGGGGACGACCAAAAGAATTTGCACTAAACACAACTTAAGTGTACTATTGAATTTTTCCTCTGTATCTTACTTCTCTGTGTACATACTAATTAAACCCATGCTTAACTTACACTTCCTTATTGATTAATTGGCAGTTTCCCCTACTCACTAAAATATAATGGCAATTATAGTGCTCTTCTAAAAAGGTTGCCAGTTCGATCTTAAAAGAAAGAAAGTCTAGAAAAGTCACTAGCCTTTTGATAGTTTGAAAATTGGCCCAGCTACCCTTGATCTTGGGGCTTAAAAAAAATGGCCCTGGCTTAAGAATTGCTTCAGCTGTATTCAGATTGCCACAAGTTTCACGACCAACCAGAAATAAGTTACCAATGTTTAAGAAACCTACACACGGCCCATGTATTGCATGTGATGCGCTATGGTCCCAAGAGATGACTGCGCCCCTCTCCACCTACCGTGTTGGGAAGTTTTCCCTTCCTTGCACCCACGACATACCTCAAACTCTCGTGCCCAATTTATTAAATCAGTCCTGCGTACATAAATAGATTGTAGAGTATACAAGGAATAATAGAGTAAACAAGGAACTATCATTTTTATTAACCAGAAGTGTTATAACTTTTAAAAACAGAGTTAGTTTTGACAAAGATATAAATATGGTAGAGTATTTTTGTGAAAGACATTTTAGTGAATATGACATACTTAATTTTTATCAAAGATCAAAATCAAGATTTAATTTATCCATCAACGATTTTGTGAGGTTGTGAACAGAACAAATTAGCCTTAAGGTAAAAAAAACCTGGTTTGTATGTAATCACCCAAAATCCGCTTTTTAGGTTCAGGAGGTCTAATAACAAATATTTCCAATAAAAACTTAAAATTTGTGACAAAAACACTACTTTTTGTCCTCATCTATTTTATTTTTTTAAAGGGGAAAATAGTTTTTAATTATCGTTATGAATATCTGGAACTGTATTTTTTTAATTCATGTTCGTCTTTCCATGCTAGGATCGAGTATTCCATTTGGAAGATAAAATAAATTCCCTTTTCTCCCTCATTGTCTGGCAGACCCCTCATGGTGGTTCTTAGTTTATAACAAGCTAACAAGCTTTATTAACATTGCTTTAGGTAAGGGCAAGTGGTTGCGGCGTTATTATTTAGTTCCATTAATGATTGGCGGGATTTGAACCCGGAACTTCGGGCACCAAAGTCCAGCCATCAACTAGGCCAGCTTGCTCCCCACAATTTCACCCTTATTATCTGCTCTAATTACAGTGGCACTCCACAGATCTTGGATCATAAAACTTGTTACAGTCCAAATGCAGCTGTATCTTTAACCAGAACAATTTATTACAAGCACAATGATCAAAATCAGCTAGGCAAAGTTTCGAACCATCAAAAAGCAACTGATCATTCTCAGACTTTAACCAGCTTACAACTATTAGGCGAGCACTATAACCACTCTGCTGCCCAGCTCATCTCTTTAAAACAATATAAATCAAAGAACCACCTTGGATTGGATCATTGACGATGGTCAACTTGTTGAACACTCCACGACCGAAGTAGTCGGCCACCAGACTGAAGCCATCCTCAGCTTTATCCAGCTGACTGTGAAATGCCTCATGTAGATCTCTGCCTTGCTCCTGGATGCAGGAAATGTTTATACTTATAATGTTTGAAAATGCATATAAATAGCAGGTATAAGTTAAATATCCACTCAAACATTTTGCCTAAAATCCTACAAGTGTTTAAAGGTGGCAATTTATCACTAGGCATCGTGATGGGTGGAGTTAGAGGTTATTTGTTACCTATGGATTAAAATTTCCTGCCGTAAACTTACAAGGAAGGAGTTGAGAGGGAGGTCCTTTGCAGGGCCGGTTTAACCCATACGCAAACTACGCGGCCGCATATGGCACCACGAAAAAGTGGCGCCAACGGAACAATTTTTTTTGCGTGAACAACGTAGTTTTGTTTATTTTCTATCAGACTCCAAATACACCACAATAGAGGCATTTATCCTGTTAGTACCAACAGCACTTGAAAAATGTGTATATTTGTACAGCACTACAACTCAAGGACTCAATGCCATTTGCAGTTTCGATTTGTAGTGAGCTGACGCTCGGCAGCGTACGGTGCGGCGCCTGTGGGTTTCATTTCACGACTCACTCATGCTCGTGCTCGAGATAAGCAAGCGCGCAGCGCCATTTATCACAACAAGAAACTTCCCCCTTCCCACCTTCCCACCCTTCTGCGTCTTATCATAGACTAACCAACACAAGTAGACTTCTCATCCCATTGTAAATTTTGAAGCACGTTTTTCGTGTCTAGTTCATATACGTGACACATGGGCGCTAGTGTCGACAAAACTTTGTTTCTATTATTTTAGGGTTAATTTCTTGATTTGTGCTTTACTGTTTGGTTATATAACTAGGGGACAAGTTATTGTTTATGATAGATCGTATTATTTGGTTAAACGAGGTTTTAAATGGCTGTAATAACGGGAAACAAATTGTAAACAAAACACGACCTCTACATAAACCATACAGAACTAACAATAAAATTGTCTTCAGCTGTTCCATAAGGATGAGAAATCTACTAAGGGAGTATGTTTTATCTATGGTCTTATCCTAGAGCAGAGCATTACGTTGTATTGCACTCTTTTAGTTTTATACGTATACCGTATCGGTATCGTATTGGCGTTGTTTTGATGATTCATGATTGTTGATAAGTGAATGATTACGAGTGTTTTAAGTTTAATTTATAATTAGCGCATTAAATAAGAAGAAAGTAAAAACTGAAAATGAGTCAAACATCTTGCGAGCCGATACTAAGAAAACAATGGCAGAAAAAAAGAAAACGTCTGGCACTTATTATCGAAAGCGTACGGCGAATTTGGAAGAGGAAGATAAAAAACAAGCCAAATCAATGAGTAGATTTTTGTTGAAATCATCTGGTGGCGAGTCCAGTCAGCCCAAAGAAGTCACGATAGAAGATGGCAATGACGTAGGTATTTATTTATTTATTTTCCAAGGAAAGATTAAAACAAGCAGCTGATCACAAACGGCAAACATTACGTCATTGCCGTCTTCTATCGTGACGTCATGCTTGACGAGCATTACGGCCTTTGGTTTTGCTAAAGTTTATATGATGAGTAAAAGTGTAAAAATGTTAAATTTCTGCGAATAATAAAAAGTCTTATATTGCAAGTATTCTTCTAACCTAAGCTTATAGAAAAGATCTTCTCAAAATTATTGGGAGAAAATTCACAAATACGGTTAAGTTATGTTAATGGTTTGGGGGGGGGGGTGGTGGGGGGAATCCTAAGTGGCGCTAATTCGGGTGTTCGCTTAACTCTGAAAAATTGCTAGAACCGGCCCTGGTCCTTTGGAGAAAATCATTAGTATTTTAGTGTTAAAAAACACAGGATTTGGAGTACCGTGAAGCTGGCCCGCCCATTCCAGCACACTTTTTTTAAATGTATACAAAAAAGTGTGCTCTTTATAACTGCTATTAAAAAAGTGTGCTCTTATAATAATTATGATATAATCAATTGTATTTGGGCGGGCCAGAATCACGACTGGCCCGCCCATTTCAGCTACAGATCTATAAACCATACCAAAAAAGTGTGCTCACAGGAATCATTAATAAAAAAAAGTGTGCCCCCCCGTTACTATACAAATAACCCCTAAATGGTAAGGGTATAATAAAATGACCCAGCCCGCCCATTTCAGCTATAGATCTGTAAACCATACCAAAAAACTGTGCTGAAAGTGTGCTCACAGGAATCATTAATAAAAAAAAGTGTGTCGCCCCTGTTACTATACAAACAACCCCTAAATGGTAAGGGTAATAAAATGACCCAGCCCGCCCATTTCAGCTACAGATCTCTAAACCATGCCAAAAAACTGTGCTAAAAGTGTGCTCACAGGAACCATTAATTAAAAAAGTGTCCCGCTACCAATCGTATGTAATTTAGCTACACATGGCTACACATAGTCTGGATAGTCAACCTGCCCGCCACCCCAGCAGCTTGTAAACTATTTAAGTGCTACAGAATTAATGATTAGCCATGGCCCAACTGCGACTTTAAATGTCATATTATTTTTGTTTTTAATTAAAATGTCAAGAAAATAAAAGTGTTTACATACGAAAAGGAACATTATGTAACTTTTTTTATTTTGGTTTTAATCGAAAGGAATATTGTTTAACATATTTTAATACTAGCTGTACCCGCGGGCTTTGCCCCGTTTAACTTCACAAGTTAGCTCGTTCGCATGGCTCAATCACGTCCTGGTTGAAGTTCGTTCGCTACGCTCACTCACCTTTAGGTTGGAGCTCGTTCGCTCCGCTCACTTGCCTTCAGGTTAGCTCGTTCGCTACGCTAACTCGCTTCCAGGTTGAAGTTCGTTCGCTACGCTCACTCACCTTTTGGTTGCAAATTGGCTGTAGTCATAAATAAAAAAAAAATAATAGTGCTGCACCCTGTTGGTAATCCTTGTAACTTTAATGTTATTGAACATCATAGAACAGAACCAACTTGTTTAATTGAAACAGCTGTTAAGAAATTCCTTTTAAATATGAAAAATCATAAGGTTAACATGGGAAACTCCAGAGCCACTGGGGCAGAGCCCGAATCCCCGATCAGAATAAAAACTATTTAGTTTTCCTATTTAATGCCCAAAGAATCGGTGTACCGAATTTCAGCCTCCTAGGTAAATGGGAAGTGGGAGAATTAGTGATGAGTGAGTGAGTCAGTCAGTCAGTGAGGGCTTTGCCTTTTATATATTTAGATTAATTAAATTACTTATTTAAAAAAAAATTAATAAAAATTACATACACACATTGATTGGTTTCTAGCCTGATAGATCTTTTTAAAAAGTTTTTATTTACCTTTTTAATTATTAAAGTTAACAGCTTTATTATGGGACTCCCAATTTTTAAAAGCTAGATTTTTTAATGTATATAATGTTGTTTGTAATCTTAGACAATTTACAATCAATTATGGTACACCTATACTTAAAATTATTCAGAGAATTCAATAGATAATGGGTTACACCATTATAATCTATGGTTTATTAAGATTGCAGTGATAATCCTATATATTCTAATGATTTTGAATAATCTACATTTATTTGCAAAGTGTAAAGAGTGCGTAATAGTAACGGGGGCGACACACTTTTTTTTATTAATGATTCCTGTGAGCACACTTTCAGCACAGTTTTTTGGTATGGTTTACAAATCTATAGCTGAAATGGGCGGACTGGGTCATTTTATTATACCCTTACCATTTAGGGGTTATTTGTATAGTACCCTTTTAGCACAGTTTTTTGGCATGGTTTATAGATCTGTAGCTGAAATGGGCGGGCTGGGTCATTTTATTACCCTTACCATTTAGGGGTTGTTTGTATAGTAACGGGGGTGGCACACTTTTTTTTATTAATGATTCCTGTGAGCACACTTTCAGCACAGTTTTTTGGTATGGTTTACAAATCTATAGCTGAAATGGGCGGGCTGGGTTATTTTATTATACCCTTACCATTTAGGGGTTATTTGTATAGTAACGGGGGTGGCACACTTTTTTTTATTAATGATTCCTGTGAGCACACTTTTAGCACAGTTTTTTGGCATGGTTTATAGATCTGTAGCTGAAATGGGCGGGCTGGGTCATTTTATTACCCTTACCATTTAGGGGTTGTTTGTATAGTAACAGGGGTGGCACACTTTTTTTTATTAATGATTCCTGTGAGCACACTTTCAGCACAGTTTTTTGGTATGGTTTATAGATCTGTAGCTGAAATGGGCGGGCCAGTCGTGATTCTGGCCCGCCCAAATACAATTGATTATATCATAATTATTATAAGAGCACACTTTTTTTTAATAGCAGTTATAAAGAGCACACTTTTAGCACACTTTTTTGTATACATTAAAAAAAAGTGTGCTGGAATGGGCGGGCCAGCTTCACGTCACTAGGATTTGGCCGTTTTTTTTACATAAATCTTTTTTTAGCTTTTTTACCTATGTCCTATTTTGAGAAAATTAATAATATTTCCAAACTATTTCAAATGAACAGAGATAATAGGTCTACTAAATAATGTATTATCTTTATTAATTATTTTTTTGCACAAACCATCACATTAAAAACCAGACTAACATTTTCAGGATAAAGTCAATTTACAAAATCTTGTTTAATAGCACCAAAATAGAAAGTGTAACCTGATCAAAATCATCGTTTATACCAACAGAGTATCCTTCATTTGTGCTCCAATATAACATGGAAACAATTAAAGCTGGAGATGTACAAAGCAATGGGGGGACCAGCAATCGGGAAATGCAGTAGCAGCCACCTACCATTGGCCAAACAACGCTGCGCTTCCCGAAATGACTTGGATTCGTAAGGTTAATAACCCCAAACTAGGATATGTAATATGTCTTAAACCATATATGCATTACTTTATAGTTACAATTTAACTAACCTTTATATCCTTTTGCTGATTTACTTTATTTTTGAAAAATTGATTCTTTCTAACAATTAGGCGAGCAATAAATATTTGACTCAATCTTTGGGGGGGGGGGGGGCATCATCTACCCATGCTCATGTCACTGCCGGGTTTGTAGACTTGAGCCCCAGTTTTTAAATCAACAGATAGATAACTTACAATATTGTTGAATAAATCTATTTTAAACAACTATAGCATCCATGCACACACTATTTAAAGTTGAAAGCAGTACTGTAATGCTTTCATAAATAAACACACAAGATAAAAAATAAACTTACCTGAAGTTTCATCAAGTCCATATAATGTTTGTTACCAGGCAGGCAAACGGGACACTCATTTTCACTTTCTGAGAAACTTTGGAAGCAGCTAAGGACAAAAAAGTTGAAAATATCACAGTGCCAGAGATTAAGTACAATACAGTAGACTCCCTCTTATCCGGACTCCTCGGGACCGAGGCCAGTCCGGATAACGGGTTTTCCGGTTAAACCAACGTCCCCAAAAACTCGTTAAAACGGACTGTTTACTGTGATATTCAACTTAAATTTAGGAGAGCGTTGTATTACAGGGTGTATACTATTTTATTAAAGTGAAATTCCAGGTTTTTTCCAGGTTTTTCCTGGTTTTTCAAAGTTTTTCCAGGTTCCCGAGTATTTATTTGGTTCCACTTAAACTACAATCAATTTAAGACTTGCAGCTTAAGCATTCAATATAAACTTATATCAAATTTGTTTCAAAGTCCATAGTGAGCTAGTGTTGAAAAAGTAATAATCCTTATTATAGTAATCATTTTCATTATCATCATTACTTAAGGCCACGGAAACATCTTCTCTCTCGATAGCAGCAAAATCCTGAATATTATCTTAATTTTTTATGAACACATTATCAACGGTGGCAAAATCCTGAATATTTCCTGCGGTCGTGTGGTCGCTTCCCACAATGACGTAAACGTCATCACAGTCTTACGTTATCATGGGAAAATCCTGGACATCTCCCGCGGTATGTATACATTATCGCCGTCTCTCGTGATCACGGAAACGTAATCATCGTCATCCACGATCGCGGCTAAATCATGAACATCTGCGGCCGTGTAGACATAATCATAGCCTCCCGCAGTCACGGAAACGTCATATTCGTCGTCGTCCGCAATCTCGGCAAAATCATGAATATTTCCCGCGGCAGTGTAAACATCATCGTTGATCCCGCGGTCACGTAAACGTCATCGTCGTCGTCCGCGATCGCGGCTAAATCATGAACATCTGCGGCCTTATGTAGACATAATCATAGCCTCCCGCAGTCACGGAAACGTCATATTCGTCGTCGTCCGCAATCTCGGCAAAATCATGAATATTTCCCGTGGCCGTGTCTACACAGGGTGTATACTATTTTATTAAAGTGAAATTCCAGGTTTTTCCCAGGTTTTTTCCTGGTTTTTCTTAGTTTTTCCAGGTTCCCGCGTATTTGTTGGTTCCACTTAAACTATAATCAATTTAAGACTTGCAGCTTAAGTATACAATATAAACTTACATCAAAAGTCCAGTGAGCTAGTGTTTAAAAAGTAATAATCCTTATTATAGTAATAATTTTCATTATCATCATTACTTAAGGCCACGGAAAAATCGTCTCTCTCGATAGCAGCAAAATCCTGAATATTATCTTCATTTTTTATGAACACATTATCAACGGCGGCAAAATCCTGAATATTTCCTGTGGTCGTGTGGTCGCTTCCCACAGTGACGTACACGTCATCACAGTCTTACGTTATCATAGAAAAATCCTGGACATCTCCCGCGGTATGTATACATGATCGCCGTCTCTCGCGATCACGGAAACGTAATCATCGTCATCCACGATCGCGGCAAAATCACGAAAATCTTCCGCGGCCGTGTGGACACCATCATTGACTCCCGCGGTCACAAAAACGTCATCGTTGTCGTCCGCGATCGCGGCAAAATCACGAAAATCTTCAGCGGCCGTGTAGACACCATCATTGACTTCCGCGGTCACATAAACGTCATCGTCATCGACCGCGATCACGGCAAAATCACGAAAATCTTCCGAGGCCGTGTAGACACCATCATTGACTCCCGCGGTCACATAAACGTCATCGTCATCGACCGCGATCACGGCAAAATCACGAAAATCTTCCGAGGCCGTCTAGACACCATCATTGACTCCCGCGGTCACATAAACGTCATCGTCATCGACCGCGATCACGGCAAAATCACGAAAATCTTCCGAGGCCGTCTAGACACCATCATTGACTCCCGCGGTCACGAAAACGTCATCGTTGTAGTCCGCGATCGCGGCTAAATCATGAACATCGGCGGCCGTGTAGACATAATCATCGTCGTCTTTCGCGGTCACGGCAAATCACGAATATCTTCCGCGGCCGTGTGGACATCATCATAGCCTCCCGCAGTCACGGAAACGTCATCGTCGTCGTCGTCCGCAATCTCGGCGAAATCATGAATATTTCCCGCGGCCGTGTCTGCATCATCGTCGTCTCCCGCGGTCACGGATACGTCATCGTCGTCATCCACGATCTCGGCAAAATAATGAATATTTCCCGTGGCAGTGTAAACATCATCGTCGTTTCCCGCGGTCACGGAAACGTCATCGTCGTTTCCCGCGGTCACGGAAACGTCATCGTCGTTTCCCGCGGTCACGGAAACGTCATCGTCGTTTCCCGCGGTCACGGAAACGTCATCGTCGTTTCCCGCGGTCACGGAAACGTCATCGTCGTTTCCCGCGGTCACGGAAACGTCATCGTCGTCGGCCGCAATCACGGTAAAATCATGAGCATATCAGGCGGCCGTGTAGAAATCATCATCGTCGTTTTTCGCGGTCACGGCAAATCACGAAAATCTTCCGCGGCCGTGTAGACATCATCATTGCCTCTCGCAGATATGGAAACGTCATCGCCGTCGTCCCGATCTCGGCCAAATCATAAACATCTGCGGCCGTGTAGACATAATCATCGTCGTCTCCCGCGGTCACGAAAACGTCATCGTGGTCGTCCGCGATCTCGGCAAAATCATGAATATTTCCCGCGGCAGTGTATACATCATCGTTGATCCCGCGGTCACGGAAACGTCATAGTCGTCTCCCGCGGTCACGGAAACGTCATCGTCGTCTCCCGAGGTCACGGAAACATCATCGTCGTCTCCCGCGGTCACGAAAACGTCATCACCGTCTCCCGCGGTCACGGAAACGTCATCGTCGTCTCCCGCGGTCACGAAAACGTCATCGTCGTCGCCCGCAATCGCGGCAAGACGCATTTTACGACTACAATCTTCTACCGGGGCTTAAATAAAAATCCCGGAATCGGTCCAAAAATCCCGGCTTTTTCCCGGTTTTTTCCAGGTCCCTTCAAATTCAAGGTTTTTTCCCGGTTCTCCCGGTTTTCCCGGTTGGTATACACCCTGTCTACATCATCGTCGTCTCCCGCGGTCGCGGAAACGTCAACGTCGTTTCCCGCGGTCACGGAAACGTCATCGTCGTCGGCCGCAATCACGGCAAAAACATGAGCATATCACGCGGCCGTGTAGAAATCATCATCGTCGTCTTTCGCAGTCACGGAAACTTCATCGTCGTCTCCCGCGGTCACGGAAACGTCATCGTCGTCTCCCGCGGTCACGGAAACGTCATCGTCGTCTCCCGCGGTCACGGAAACGTCATCGTCGTCTCCCGCGGTCGCGGAAACGTCATCGTCGTCTCCCGCGGTCGCGGAAACGTCATCGTCGTCTCCCGCGGTCGCGGAAACGTCATCGTCGTCTCCCGCGGTCGCGGAAACGTCATCGTCGTCGGCCACTATCGCTGCAAAATCTTGAGCATTTCACGCGGCCGTGTAGAAATCATCATCGTCGTCTCCCGCGGTCACGGAAACGTCATCGTCGTCTCCCGCGGTCACGGAAACGTCATCGTCGTCTCTCGCGGTCACGGAAACGTCATCGTCGTCGCCCGCAATCGCGGCAAGACGCATTTTACGACTACAATCTTCTACCGGGGCTAAAATAAAAATCCCGGAATCGGACCAAAAATCCCGGCTTTTTCCCGGTTTTTTCCAGGTCCCTTCAAATTCAAGGTTATTTCCCGGTTCTCCCGGTTTTCCCGGTTGGTATACACCCTGTATTATGACACGTGATCACTGGTCTCAAATCTTTCCCACGAGAACAGACGTTTCAGTACTGCCCACCTCCTGCCGATCTAGTCCGGTTTAACTAATGTGCTGATAAAAATTGTCTGGTTAAAGAGATGTCATTTCCACTGAGTGTAGTCCGGTTAAACCGATGTCCGCTTAAAAGGTGTCTGGATAAGAGGAAGTCTACTGTAGTCTACAAATATGATGTTTTTATCCAGTAACTCAGTATTACTTCAAAAGTAATTAAAACAACAAGAAGTAAATATCAGCACTCAGGTTCTTCAAATAACCTTAAAAACAAATCATCCAAAAAACCTAAAAGGAAAACGTCTCATTTATGGTTCTAGCCACAAAATCTCTTGTGCATAAAATAATAATGTACAGGGAAAATTGTAGTAATAGTAGGCTATTTTTAAAGAGATTGGATTAAATGTAAAATAACAACTTACTGTTGATGATATGAATGTTGACAGAGGAAATGTACACTGGGAAGTTCAAGTTGGTGATTACAAGCACAACATCTCGAGCCTTGGAACACGATGGCCCTATGAAACAATCATAAATATTATCAAACAGTCGTAAAAACATGGGAATAGGGTCACAACTGATTTGCAAAGTAGTTTATTATGTTGCATTCTTTTAAGACTGTATCGAAACCACAAAATAGTTATTAATTTGTTTACATGCCGATATACTTTTTTACCCTATACTAAAAAAAAAAACTAAAATTATTGGTAGACTTGTCTATTTCAAAAATAACGTTTGCTAAAAACAATTCAGAGAGCTTCAATCCCAGAAGTTTTTATTCTTTATTCCTCCAACCTTTTCTACATATGTAAACCTTGTAATCTACAGCTAAGTATGGCTCTTGAGAACTAGTCTAAGTTATCCAGGTTAAAATTGATGTCAGATTCTCACGAGTTCTGCATGTTGTGGATTTGTTTCCGTATCCGAGCAGTCTCGTCTTTGTACTTAGTGTTCCGAGCTTGATCTTGATCCCTCAGCTTCTCTTCGGCTTGAAGAACACTCTGTAGATATGCTCTGATGTCACCGACTTTTACAGCGTTCCAGTTGCTCAGGGCGTCAATGACAAGTAGTGGAGAGAGAAGTCGTTCTTTCTCTGAAACAACAAGTTTATTTGTTGATAAAATGGAAGAATTACCTTATCCAAACACAGTTGCTAGTATGACAACTAGTTTCGTTCCTTAGAACATCGTCAGGTCATTGTATGCAACCACATCATCAATGTATTAATACATTGTGGTATGTAAAAAGATTCTTTAAAACACTGTCAGAATCACAATAGTAAAAACTAGTCATGTTAATCAAATTATTAAAACTGTAAAGGCTGGCCAGCACTCTCTTATTACTGTCACTGACTAAATAAAACTGCATACTAGCAACTGTGGTTGGATAAGGTAATTCTTCCATTTTATCAATTATATATTCCAACCAAGGGTCACAACGAATAACAAGTTTATTTGTTTATTTATACATTACAGATCCGATAACATCAAGAAATGGATTCATGTCAAAACTGCATTTTTTCATTGTAGTAGGCCCAGGAACTCATCTAAGGTGTACACTGTAGATCTGTCCTGTAGATACTTTTTAAGTTCTTTCTTGAGGATTTTTTCAGTCGAGTTTGGAGATTATTTGGTAACAGGTTCTTCAGTTTGCGTCCGATGTATGAAGGAGTTTTCTCAAAGAGAGGTGTCGGGGAAGGATTTATCTTGCCACATGTCTTTTGTTGTAGTTGTAAAAACAACTACCAACTACCAACTACCAAACATTGTCTTGGTTTGTTTCGAGATTACGATTGTCAGCGTGAAGGATTACTTGAAGGATGTAGAGGCTTACACTAACTCTTTGATTCATAAACTATATGAAAACTAGTAATGATAGCGTCCCATATATCAGCTGTTGGGCTGCTACACTTTTTTAGTTAAAATTGAATTTATAAAGAACTGGAACCTAAAATTAAAATTATGACTTCTGACTTCGACATTAGGTACCTCCCTCTAAAAATTATCTTTCCTTTAAGAGCAGAATAATGAAAATCTGTCACGTGGTTGATTCAGAAAATGTCAAAAAACTTCATTTTTGAATATAGAAATTTGTAAGGTCAAAGTAATTTATGACAGTTTATTCAGATTTCTATCAGAAAATACTAACACTACTTAGCAAGTGAAAATGCTAAATCCCTAAAAGAACATGGTAATAAATAGAATATACAAACTATTCAACACTTGCAAGACAAAGCAATTGGTGGTGTAACACATTAATATGCTATATACTTACGCCCCTTCGTCTTGCAAGTGACGTTTTGTTATTAGTTGGTGACATAGTTGTTGAATTTTGTTGATTAATCTAATCTATAAACCATTGCATCTTGCCTGTGGCCATTTAAGTGTGCGTAAACTGCTCACTGCTATGTAATAAGCCAATGAATTTCGATAATTGTTGGCTGATAGTGATAACATTGAATTTAGTATCAGTGTGATGTACTTTATTTTTTTTTAGATTTGTTTAAAGTGGAGCAAAACATATAAGTGGTATACCCATATATAGGTTTAAGTCAAATTCATTAAAAAAGGCCTGGCTCAAAAACTGCTCGAGGCTAGAGCGCTTTCCAAAAGCTGGACTCAAGCTCAACTTTAACAAAATTCTCAAGCGTGAACACCTGTACACAAACTTTAAATTATTGAGGATAAAAATCATGATCTTAAACTTAAATAATTTTCATACTCCCTTAGTTTTTGTAATGTGGTATACATGACTCACCTATTATGGTGAGTATCTCAGCCAGCAAGTGGCTGGGCATGTCTATGTCCTTGGCTCCGGCCCAGAGTGCCTGTAGCCACAAGCTGGGGTCCTGTAGACCAAACCTGCGGCAACATGCCAGGACTGACTGGTAGTCCTGCTGACTCAGGTGGTACTGTAGGATCTGTTGGTATCTGTAAACAACGTGGACCTATTTTTTAGCGAATTTCCCCTATAGGGAATAAGCTATTACCGTAGTACTCATGGTAAGACCTGGACCCGGGACCGATTTACTTTTTTGTTTTGAGGTCCCTAGAGACCAAAAACACCATCCGTTCAAATTCATATATAGATATTTATATATGTGTCTGTTAGCGTGATAACTCGAACAAAACTCATCCGATTTTGATGAAATTTGGTACAAACGTGTAAACAATTTTATATGCTGTCGACACAACCTTCATCTCATCAGCTGACAACTTTTACTCTGCAAACCAAAGCATAGAAAACGCCATTGAATTGGGTAAGCTATGGTTTGAAAGTAATTTTCTGGAAATAAATCATGATAAAACAGAAAAAATTTGTTTTACTTTGCGTAATCTTGAAGCAGACAATGCAGTTTCTGTCAAATTACTCGGAATATCCATAGACTCTAAACTCACTTGGGAAATACAAACCAATAATATCATTTCAAAATTGTCAAGAGTATGTTGTTTGATAAGAAAACTTAAAAATTGTGTTTCTAAACCAACACTTCTAATTGTTTATCACAGTTTATTTCACTCACACTTGCTGTATGGCAATATACTGTGGGGTAATAGCTCAGGAGCTCACCGGGTCTTTACATGGCAAAAGAAGGCTCTCAGAATTATGTTTGAAATTCCGGATAGGGTTAGTTGCAAAGCATTTTTTGCTGAAAATAAAATCATGACACTCTCTAATATTTTCATTTTTTACAATTTAGTTTCCGTTAAAGAGAATCTGAATAAATTTGTTCCTTGCAACTCAATCCATGGGTATATCACCAGACAATCAAAAGATTTATATATTCCTCAAGCCAGGCTATCAAAAATTTATCAAAAGTTATAAATACTAAATAAAACTAAATAAATACGTAATAAAACTATTTAATAAACTTCCAATATATTTTAGAAATCAGGAAAGTATTCATTTGTATAGGTCAAAATTATCAGATTGGCTTACAAGTCGTGCTTTTTATTCAGTTGAGGAGTTTTTGCAGAATGTAGATTTTTCAACGCTTAAATGTGAGGCCAAGCAGTCTTGATGATTCTTTGTTCGTGTTATGGTCTTTTCCCTGTTAATTTCAAAGTTTTTATTATTACTGATGCTTTATCCTTTTAAGATTCTTTTAACTTTATTTTAACATTTTCTGTAGAATATTTAATATTTTATATAACATATGTAACAAAACATGTTGACCTTGTCTATTGTAATGTTTATATTACCAAACGACAATAAAGATATATTAATATTATTATTATTAAACCTACGTTTATTCGAACGAATTTGCGAACCAGCATGATCCGACTATGGGAACAGGGGTTTATGGGGGTTTTATGGGGCAAAAATTGGTTTTTCCCATTTTTGACCCTAAAAACAAATTAGCAATTTAAAAATTTGTAAAATTTTGTAATTTAGCAATTTCTTTCCAAACCATTTTGTAGAGCGTAAAAAAACAAATAATGTAGTATGTTGAAGCGTTATTATGCGCCTAATGGTTACGGAGAAAATTCCAAAAAACTATAAATTTAAAACTCCCATGTTATTCTTAAGGAGAATAAGTAAACTGTCGTAGTTTGCTTGTTTATGGTCATATTTTGATCAAATTTGGAAAATGCATTCATTTCATACTAAACTATTAACATTAAAAAAACCGCTTTTTACCCTTCCTGTTGCAGCAAACCTAAGTACTTGTTAAACTAATGTTATTTAAATAGGGAATAAATGTGATATTTTTAAGGAGACATTTTAGTGTAAATCCAATAAGGCAAATGGAAATTCGCTTAGTCTGCAGGTTTGCTGTGGCGGAGGTATTTTTATATACAAAATATGTTGGGGGGCCTCTATACACCTTGAATATATATGCACTTCTGCAATGGCCACAGGCCTATGTGTGGAATCTATCCTGCAAAGCAAGAGGTGAGCCGGTACAGTACAAGAATTTAACTGTACTGATACCGTAGTAGCAGATACCTAGATCCAACTCACAAAAGTCCGTCGCATGACTGGTTAAATCGCCGACTCACCAAACTGTAGACTAAACCTGCGGCAACACACCAGGACTGACTGGTAGTCCTGCTGGCTCAGGTGTATTGGAACAATACATCTAGTTTTTCTACAGGAAGAGGGTAAAACATCTTTAAGGTTTGTAAACTACTTGTTACTCAAAGGCCTAAATGAGACCATTACGCATCTAATACACAATGTCCTCAAGTCCGGCTTCCAGTCAGAACAAACATAAAAATGTAAGTTAACTGACAGTCATCTGTCTACCTAGAATGTGTTAACTCCAACTATAATACACACGGTCCACTCACAGTTTATTCTCCTCGTACAGATACAGGATTCCCGGTCGAAAGTTGACAGCCTGACACAAGATGAGAGTCTGGTGTCGGTCGTACTTAGCATCGGGTGATTCTAACAGCCGCACTATCCGCTGCTCCCACTGCACTCTGGTGGCAGCATCGCTCAGTCTCGACCACACTTGCAGGTAATGCTCCACCAGTGTGTTGTACACCAGCGGCTGCCACTTGCCACTCGTCTGTGGCCATGGACAAGTTTGTGGTTAGAGGACAAATGCAAAAATAATTGATTCAAAAACAGTTAATTAATCACAATTCATTTTTTAACTGCTCGATATTGATTTATGTTGTATTAAGTGTTTAATTACCTCGCATTTCCCTATGGAGTCAGATTAAACTACATGTTGATCTGTATATTTAACAATCAAATTTTAAGAGTATTTGAAAATTTGTTAAGTTACAAAGCAGTAAAATCAGACAGTTACAACATCTGGAACAATAAATTAAATTTGATATCCGTGTCGTAGAAACCAATGCGTCTCCAAACCACATGACAATGTCATAAAAAACGCAGAAGAAAAGAAAAGAATGTATATGTCAGCCTGTGAGTGCCGGAATGCCTCTTTCACTCCCTTGATAACATCAGTCTGCAGAATCTTAGGCAACGATTTTCAAACACCGATAAGAGCACTGGCTGAGAGGTTGTCATAAAATTGGGGCAAGCCTTAAAGTCGGATTGTTAATTGGATTAGACTGAGATTGACTTGCTCAATTTTAAGGGCATGTTATGCTACAGAAGCTCTAGAAAAAAATGGAAATTGTTCAAGAATTTGAAGATGGAGCAGGCATTCAACATATATATTGAAAGAATCAAAATGTTAAGTAACATTTGTAAATTTAGATTTGTTGATCTTGTAATTATTAATTAAAATAAAACATTGTTCATCTTTAATAGAGATTGATAGTACTTCAGTATCCCAAAGTGAATGGATGAATGAGTGAGATGATAGTGGACTAAGATTTGCTAATTTTATAGTCAGGACCATATTAAAAGCCCAATCATACATCATACATGGGCCTAATCATACATGGGCTCCAGTTTTTACCATAAAAATCTGTTGATTAAACTGAATTGAACGGGTAATCTTTAAGTTAAAGTAATAAATTCCTATTACCTAATACAGTCCTAACACTGATAGTAAGCAGAATTTCTACTAATCAATAATTATTAGGACACCAATATTGTTACTCTTGTAAAAATAATCTTGTACCTTTCTCTCCCACTGTCTTTACATGACCCAAAACCTACTGGTCCAATTTAGCTTACATTTTACATACATATAATTTGAAGTAAATAATTAATTAATTCAATCACATAGTAATGCAAAAACAATTTTTTATAGAACTCAAAATTTAAGTGATTTTCCAAACTTTGTTTCTCTAATCTGTGCTCTAACTGATATTCCCTCAGTAGCGTCAAAGAACTCATATAATGCTAATAGATATTATTGCTTCTACGTAACCTATATTTACTCACTTGAATGAGATATTCCAAAAACTCGACTAGCCTCTCTGAATTATTTTCAAATAGATGAATGTAATCCGCAGGATCAGCTCTGTCATACTCGTTTGTAACATTTTGTTTTAAATCCTAAGAAAGATAGAAATAAATCAATCTTAAGCTAACAAAAGATTAAGAACATAAAGTACTCATTTAAATAGACCAACACAAGGTGTATATGAAGATTTCATTTTAATCGTAAACACACTTTGGTTTAGACTCTTCTCGATGTAATTAAACTATGAATATAGACTAATTTTAGAATCAACTTTGTAGTTAATGTTAAGTTAAGATGTTTCTCGAATAGTGAAAAGATGACTTACACTTTTCACTTTTTAAATATTTCACAATATCTGGATGGTGCAACATGAAATTGCATGAAACATGAAACATTCATAAAAGCAATTAACTGTACTGTACTAAATGCCTGTTTTAAATACAGCAAGAAAGTGGTACAAAGAAAAATTACAACTAAAGAGAAAAAAAAATACAGACTAAACAAATAAAGATCAATTACGAATTACTGATTCTCAATTGTGAATCAAATTATAAACAGTAATGTCTGTAATTGACATTACAATCCACAACAAACACCATACCTGATCAGTAAGTGACTTGTTGTAAGGTCTGTAGTTCGTACAAAGTCTTTTCAGTAAATCAGTGGCTTCTTTAGGCGAATTTTGGAGCAAAACGTTTCCAAACTTCTTCATGCTATCCTCAGCCTGAAATTTCAATTTATGTGTAATCCACCTTCCCAAAGGCTGGAAGGCTGTAAATGACAGAACAAAATCATCTGCTTCCAATTATGTTGGTAATGAGAGTTTCAAGAATCACTCATTGATCGTAGGACTTTTAATCAACAAAATATGCTTTCTGAAAAATCATGTACTAGGGTAAGGTTCTACAAAGCCAGACAAGATGGCTTATTCTTTCTGCACACACCATGTATTCATGTTCTTTTCATAATACAGACCCATGACAATGTACATTAACGTTAAAATAATTATGACGTTAAAAGTTTAAGGTCTCTACTAGACATTTAAAACAAGGTAGGACTGTAAATTTGCAGACAGAAAAAGAGTCAAGGAGAAAAGTCAAGGCTCTACCAAACAAGTTTTATAAAAATAGTTTCTTAAATTTTATAATTTAGTGATTAATATTTTGATTCCATGGTGCTATTCATATGCAAAAATGTATACTTGTGATTAAAAATACATAAATTATTACTACAATTATGACAGTACATACTGTGAGGCTATATTGGTGGTAAGCCTACCTGAGCAAATGGTAGTTTCCCAATGTACTCGATAGCTGCAATGTACTTAGCATGGTCCTCAATCTGAATCTTGAGGTACCAAGAGTGCAGTTTGTGTTTTTCTGCCAATACGAGAGCGTCTTCTGATGATGTCTGTCGGCAAACATTTATAGCAACTTCTACGTTGAAGTCCACTTCTCTGTCTTTAGTCTGTAATAGAAAGAGGGAATGTTATAGCATATTTACAATACTCCCACCTCCCACTGCAGCGAACCAGCAAACTAAGCGAATTTTCATATGTATGATTATATTTTCAATAAAATATCTCCTTAATAATGTCAGGATTATTCCCTAATAAAATAACATTAGTTTAACGTTTACATAAATTTGCTGCTACAGGGAAGGTAATAGAGTGTGTTATTAGTAAAATGTTCATAACTTAGTACAAAATAATTAATATTAATATTAAATAATAGTAAAAACTTACCAAGTTTGATCAAAATATATCCATAAGCATGCAAACTACAACAGTTGACTTAATCCACAGTTTAAAGGTGATGGTTTTTATTTTTAAACCGGCAACAACTTTAACATTGGAATAGATCTACTTCTGTATATAGTCAATTTCTTACACACCATTATGAACTCCTTGAACTTGTCAATCTTGTTCAGTTTGGTGTAACAGTTGAGCAGCAGAGTCGTATGATCCGCTGTAGCCACTCCCTGCTTGTGAAGTACCTGTAGGTAGTCTGTCAGGTTGTCTATCTGGTGAGACTGTAGGAACTGTCAACACAACAAGTCAAGCAATCATATTGTTAAATGATATGCGAGCCATACTTTTTTACTTCAGGTCGGGTTGGGTAAAACATTTTGGCCATAGGGTCTCGACCAATACAGTTATGAAATAATTATTATAGTTGCTATTTTAAAAGAGATATAATTTATTAAAATAAAGGCTGTATATCGTATTAATTGAGAGTTATCTGAAACATCCACTGTACAAACAGATGTTGCAGTCTTATGGAATCCCTCAAAACTAAACAAAAACTAAGCACAAAACAAACCCTTGCTGTTGTTTTTGCATTTTTGATTTGAAGGAATTATGACTACCAACCCACTTGAGGATCTTACCTTTCTTATAACATATGAAGGCTCAAGCTTCCCGATGGTTTTGATGTACTGCTCGATAGCAGCATTGTGATCACCCTTGCTGTATAAGTGATCACCGTACTGGCGAAATATGTCCGTCAGGCCCTCCAAGTCATATTGATGGCTTTTGGCAATCCTGAAAAGCAGATTTCATTAGGCAAATGCCAAACAAAGTACATCCATACTTTCTTGTTTGTACATATACTTACTCCGAGATTAAGAGTACTTGGAGGCTAAACGTTGTAACTGATAAAATAATTTAATAAACTACAAAGAAAATTTCTTGTTCTAGATACTTAAATTATAGGTATTTACTTAGAGGTTTGAAAATATATGTTTGGATGATAAATAAAAATAACTCTACAACAGCTCATCCAAGATGGCCACTAGCCTCCAAGGACTCTTCAAGAGGAGATTTTGCTTTTTTATCTTTACACATAATTTTGCACAATAGAGATATCTTACAAAAACAAAGTAATTATAAATTTTTGAAAAGACAACAGTATAAATGGAGAGTAATTTTGTTTGCAGACTTTAAAAAAAAACTGGCAATGACATAGTTTATCTATCACCTCATTAATGAAGCTCAGCTGCAAAACCTACTGCATAACCTCGATGTTGTAAGTAAGCTTTTGAGCACATTGTCACATTTAACAACTAACTGTAGACATAATCACATAATATAATGTGTCATTTGTGATCTTTTAAATTCAATACAATCTACACAATCAGCAATAATTGTCCATCAACATTTTTCTCTCATTTGAAAAAGTGCCACTTTGCACACTAGAGCACAAATGACTATTGGCGTACCTGATTGACACGTCGTAAAGGTTTTTCTTGAACAGCAACGCCAGCTTGGACTGCAGATCCTTCTCCACCAGTAGAGACAGACAGTTGTCGCCTGTCAGTACGTAGAGTGAGCCCCACTCCACCATCACAGCTTGTACCTCTCTCATTGGAGCAGAGAACACTATGAACTTGTTCTGGATATCCAGCACCGTCACTATGTGCTTCTCTTTATCTTGCTCACTACAAAAATTGAGTAAACTTAAGGACATAGAGCACAAGAGCCTAGGTTTTTAGGACTTTTTGGGTAACTGGCACAAGAAACGAAAAACTTTACACTAGCAGGCCTGAAGAAAACTCTCTCTTCAAATCATGCCTTCCTTAGTTGAACATTATGTCATTATGGTTATGTTTGTGTTTTTTGTATGGTTGGCTATAATGTAAAGTTTAGTGTTTCTTGTACAAGTTTGTTCCATTTGCCATTAGGTAACCCTGAAATCATAGAGTAAACATAAGTGAACTAGAACTACAACACTGCATGTGATGTCAAAAACAAAAGAAAACAAGGAATCATTCTTGGGGCATTCAAATCAGAATAAAACATTTTTTCATTTGACTATCACTGATTTTCACAATACACTGTAAAATATAAACCATAAAAGAATTTTTGAAAGTGTTGAAGAACTAACCTTGTACATGCAAGCCAGAGGCTAGATTTCCGAGGCGCAAGTAATGTATAAATGCTTGATTGATCTAGCACTAAGTCAGATAATTAACCTGAGACAAGTTTCCATTGTTACAATATTATTGTGCGTAGATTGCAGAGTTAAAATTTACGATTTGTCATAATCAGAAGGGAAAATAAAGTAATTAATTGTGATAAGTTCAAGATTCTTCTACAGTAAATATTTATCAATTTATATTTTTATATTCATAGAATTCTAGTTATTTACCTTGTTTTGTCTATTTTTCCATTCTGGGCAGGCACAATTTTCGTGTCTCTAGCTACAATAATGAGGTAGCTCCTATACCACTGCAGGAGTATTTTCTCCCCTTCGACGGCATAACAAGGTCCTCGGCCATCCGATGTATAGCAATAGACTGCCTAAAAAGTAGATATATAGAAGTTCTATTGTACTATCAGTAGGTACAAATGTACACTTGTGATATGTAAAATGGAGAGCATAGTAGCCTAAACACATTTTTCATATACAATTGAATGGATTTCAGAATTTGAAACAAAGGTTTCTTACAGAATAGTTTCTCAGTATTCAACTTGAACTCTGCTATTCGGGCCTTCAAATTCTCTACAAAATTCTAATGGATTTCAACATATCATCAGCAAATAACATGGACAATGGTTCATGCACTCAAAATTTTATTTCATGTTTTGACATAATAAAGTTAGAGTTGCTTTAGAGTGTAACATTTATTGATGTCGGTGATCCCATCTTTTGAGCTGTTTTTATATGTATATGTACGTAATAGAACATCCCAAACAGGTCTTTGACCTAGGGATGAATTGTTTCATAGTTAAATAATTCACAAGTGTGTGTGTTAGTTAATCTAAGTTATTCTTAGTAGGCCCTACTCTGTGTATAAGCTTGTAATTCAATATGAAACAATAAAGATTTTCTGATTTCTGAATAACAATTGTTATACATGTTCCTTATTTTAAGTAATAAACTTCAAATAAAATTGTTACTTTTAAACACCAAACCAACAAAGGTATAGAACATACACTTATTCAAACTAATCAGTGAAAAATCGTCATGTGTGAACTTTGATTAACCAGGCGGCGTGGTCAATAGATGCCTCTTAAAATTGTTACATAACCTCAAAATACCAAGAAAATTTTCTAAATTGTGTTTCTTCAATCTAATATGTTGAAATGCACCGTATATTTAACTATTTCTGAATATTTTTATATGCAGTAAGTTCCCCCATTATTGTTTTTGAAACATCACAGTTCATTTGACAAAAAAAAAATGGAAGCTAAACAAAAAATGGCCATTAGCTTCAAGGTCAAGCTACCTGCTTGCACTGACAGTCTTTTGCTCCTTACACATCTGTCTGCTGTGCGCTTGCTATGTCACAATAGTTTGTGGGTGATAAGTAACCAACTTAGAAGTCTGTGATTGGATGAATAGTAACCATAACTAGTTTAATGTGTGGATGAAGAGAAACCAAAGAAAGAATAGAAGAACAAATAGAAAGAATAAGTGTCATTGTTATCTTTATCTTATGTTAGGACAGTTGTTATTATCTTTAAGACTTATCTTTAAGGGCCACTTTCCCCAAATCAAGTATAACTTAATCTCGGTTAACTTTAATCGGTGGGTTAAACTTAGGATGGCTTTCCCCACTATTTTGTCATGGCAGTTTAGTTTAACCTGGCTTTTCTTTGCAAGCAACAATGTTGGCAACACTGTTATGCAATTTTGTCTGCAATATAAGCGGTTTAGCTCCCCACTATGACATATCTGTCATTAATTTTCTCGTGTTTTGGTTATTTGTATTAAGTTTCGTGTCATTGTCTCCAATTGTTGACATTAAAAAGAAACATTTTTATTTGCAGGCTGATAAATTGTACTGATGCTAATTTATAAGCATTTTAATTCTTGTGTTTATTTAAGCTTAAATTTAACAGTAGGCCTACTGTACGCATAAAATAAAAGCATTAATTACAATCATGGGAAAATAAAATGTTGGGAAAGACGCAAAATTAATGTTTGTGGATTAAAAACTAGAGCCTATCCTTTGTAATGGCAGGCCTAGGCTACTCAGCATTAGACACGTTTGATCAATGTTTCAGAACTAAATTTTAATTTTAGGCCTACTACAGTAGTTGTTAATTCACACATGATAATAGGCTAGTGGTTAGGCCCGAATGTTAACTAATATTTATACTTTTGTGTAATGTAAGACTCGTGTTAAAATAAAATCAAACCAAAAGGCTTCTTATGAGCAAACTCTCCAACCACTGTTGCGTTGCTGTGGACAAGGTAGCCTATCGATTGTACACAACTACGATAGGCCTACTACCTACCAAAAATATAATAATTCAGGCCTACTCTACACATTTAAAAACCTTAAAACCATTATATCTGTAGCCTTATATCTTTAAATTTAGAATAGTCATGAATTATCTAGATAGGTTCTGGTTTACTATTCCTTAATTTATTTCCAGTTCAAATTATTTGAGGTTATGTTTAAAAAACGCCAAACAAAGATATTTGCCATTGCCGTCTGCCGAACGTAACAAGTCAGCCAAGAGCCAATCAAAATTGAGCTATTATTCTTCTCTCCTGGTTTAACCCATGGATCGCCAGTTAAACCAGCCTCACCCAGAGGGTTAACTTAAACCTAGTTTAAACGGAGAAATTATTTTGGGGAAAGTGAATCTGAGGTTAAACTAGAGTTTAAACCACGATCAGAGTTAATCTTGATTTGGGGAAAGCGGCCCTAAGTCTATCACCGCAACTATTCGACATAGCGCTGGCGGAAGCTCTTAAGAAAACAAAAAGTAGTCAAGGGGGAGTAAGGATTCCTGATAAAATAAACCTTCTAGCGTTTGCAGATGATGTGGCCATTGTAGCCGAAAATAAATATGACCTTCGAGCGATAACAGAAATACTTATAAAAGAAGCAAGAAAAGTGGGCTTACAAATAAATGAGAGTAAAACAAACTACATGAAAATAAGTAGGCAATGGGATGAAAAAGACCACTTAGAAGTATTAGACTACAGGTTCCACAAAGCAAACACATTTAAATATCTGGGAGTAACAATCACAAACAATAACAGAGAAGATGTTGAAAGTCAAAACAGACTCACGGCAGCAGAAAAATCATATTGGAGCTTAGTAAAATTATTCAAAAGTGAACTTCTATCAAAAACTGCCAAAATAAGAATGTATAAAACCATAGTGCAACCTGTAGCGCTATAAGGATCAGACTTTTGTCTTTCACAAAAAATCCTAAAAAAGACTTTTTAAGGAAATTGACTAGAAAGCAGGCTTACCTTAAAATAAGTCCATAGACACACATAAAATACATCACAAAAGTAGAAATTTTTGTAGTCACTGACCACTTTTTCAACCACTGGAGAAATGGCGATGGCAGTTGCAATTTGACTCTATTACACCTTGTCACCAACACAGCTGAAGAGACTAAAAATTGTTTTTACTGTTGCATATGCATGAATATGTTAACTCATTATGAATAATGCTTTAAGTGCCGGTACTATGATTTTAATATGCTGTTTAGTGTTTTATGAGTTATCTAATGTTTTTATTGGCATTCTTCTGTTCTGAAACCTCATGTAGTAGTAGCCTATGATGACTACAGTAGCAGTAGTTTACTAGTCTAGACTTTCTATTGTTCTGCTCTCTTGTGATTTATTTCCGTACAGTGTTGTGTGCAATTTTTGTTTTGTTTGAGTAAGTGTGATGATGTAAAATGTAAATTAATTATTGCATTAACTTCCATTTATGTATTAGGCGTTTTAAGGGTTTGTAATATTGTATACGTTTATGCCACGTTGGATTTACCGTGGTTTTCAGTTATCCGTGACCGTGGTTTCCCTCACCCCATTACCCCGGATAATCAAGGTTCTATTGCATTAACTAACAGGGATTTACATTTAATTTACGTTACGTTTAAAGGCCAATATTTTTATTTTCTTTACAACTTCAGCCCATACAGCAAATTATAAATAACGAGACAGCACAGCTAATCATAAATTATGGGTGACTGTTAAATTGTTTGTTAGGTTAATGTTTACTCAAAATATAACATTCAACTGTTTTAAAACTGGCCGATTTGAAATTAATTTGTTTTTTTTAGTTTGAAATGCAAAGAAAAAAAAACATACAAGTATCTTAGGTCTAAGCATCTTTAACTACTGTACTCACATCATCTTTAGCAATCATAAAATGAGTGTCCTGCATGGATTCTGCTAAGACTGAACATGCCTTCACACACCCCACAGTGTCCAAGACAACCTGGTCAAACATTTTTATGCCGTTAGAACTAAAATACAATTTGTGGGGTTTCTGTTATTAGATCATTCGTATATGTTAAATACAGATTATGAATGAAAGAAGTCTAATGACACTTTTAATTCATAGACACTTACTACACTCAGTTCACAAAATTTATGTGGTTTGAGGGGAAGTTCCCCAATACTTTTTTTTGCTTAATGTATATGTTGCAGCTGATTTACGTTTTGGCAAACCTCAGATGTTGAGCAAATGTTTAATAGGCAGGATCAAGAGGTGGGGATGGATTTGTTCCCCTAAAACCGCCTAAATTTTGTGAACTTAGTATAATACAAATGTGTAATGGTAAATAGTAAATTATTTAGAAGGTATTCCCATCTATAATTTTGCTAATCAATTTTATAGCATGTAGACTAAATAGACTATCACTTACTTTACTTACAGTAACTTAAAATATCCATGACACAAAAATGGTTGCAATTGAATGACATGAGCATTTCAACATGAAACTTTCTGTAGTTTACATGAATTACAGACAACAAATAAAAATATTTATCATGAAAGAAAACACTTTGACTAGAATTCATAGGAACAATCTTGGTGGGTCTGCGATTGTTCCATTAGCAATTTTACTGGAAGGGAAATACAATATTTACCTACAACACATTTAGATAATCAATAAAATATTATTTAATTATTTAAAACGAATGACTGGAAGATGAGAATACTTCGTCTTAACACACTTAAATAAAAAATTTAATTAATTGTATTTAAAATGTCATAACTTACATGACTAAAATTATATTTAACTATTGCTTAAATAAGGTAACCCTTTAAATATCTATTTTTCTTTTTTGTATCACTGCATTGAAACGTTTGCATTACCACACCTATAAACATAATTTAATTTCACCTGCAAAATAGCTCATTTCCGCTCTTTAAATCAGCTGATTTTACTTTAGGCGTTTCTATCAAACGATAACATTCAGTTAGAAAATAACATAACCTAAAACAAATATAACCTAAATGACGTTTATATACAACTAAAGAGAAAATCTGTGTCTTATGGTTAATTACGGGGGTGGGAAAAAATAATGTGTGTATTACATGGTGTCTACTAAATCTGGTTTGAAAAATTCAAGGAGATTTCAAGACAAATTCCTGAATTTTAAGAACTACTATCGGAACCCTATACTTTAAGCGCCGAACAATCAAATCAAAATATCTTTATTCGTACAAGACAAGTACATGTTAGTACATCTGAATAGTGTCAACTTAGCTATTTAAATTAACATTTGCTCAACTATTCATATACTCTTCTATGGAATATAATACTTTGCAAACCAAGTAAGTTTTTAGTTTTAGTTTAAATTTTGAACTGTTTATTTGACACTTTAATTCTTTTGGCAATTTTCTAAAATAACTTGCTCCTTAGTAAGATGGCTTCTTTGTGTAAAATTCAAGTCTATGGTGAGTGGGTATGATTTCATTCTTTTTTCGCGTGTTGTACTTGTAATGGTGTATTTCTTGTTCTAAAATTGTATCCTTCTTATTGTTTAAAAATATCATAATAGTGTCTAAAATAAACTGACCATAAACTGTTAATATGTTTAGCATTTTAAAATGTTCCCTGCATGATGTACCTGGATGTAGCTTTTTTAATATTCTAATTGCTTTCTTTTGTTCTTTAAGTATTTTATCTAGATTTTCTAATTTAGATGAGCCATACAGACAAATTCCAAATGAAATGTGTGAATGAATGTATGAATGGTAAATCACGCCGTTTTATATTAAGAACAAATTTTTAAAAGATTATACAAGGTTAGAAATCATAATTGTTGTCACATAATGAAATTAACTGGTGTATTTAAAAAATGTACTTAAGAAATAGTAGGTTGAAAAATGTATTACTTATTTTTTCAATAACTGGTAGGCACTATAAGTAAAAGTGCTATTAATTTCTTAAATTTCAAAGTCAATTTGGATGTGATTTTTAATTTCTTCCATAAATCAGACACTTTCAGGGCCTAGTTAGGCAGCATCAATCTTCGTCAGGAATCACAAAAAAATTAAATACCACGGATAACAGTTGTTTAATTTTTAGCTTATAATTTTAAAAGTTTTAAGATGGTTCTGTTCTAGAATGGTGTGGTTTTAGTCAATTTTTTTAGAATTGAGGTTATTGGTATTCCGTCTCTTTATGCTATGATGTAGCAGACGACAGGCCGCAGTCATCAACAAGGAGGTTCTTCTTTTTCAGTGGCCAGTTTTTTTTTTCATTGGTAATAAGTGATCAGTCAGGCTGTAGATGCTTGTGTTCAGTGGTAGCCATTGTTATTGTTTTTATTTACATCTGTTTGACATTTATGTACTGAAATGTTAACGTTTTGCAGTTCACACATAAGAATATTTATACAGTAGTTAGATTCCCTCCGAATATGATAATCACAATCACGTATTTGACTCCTTAGGTTCGGATAAGTATTTACAGATGGGATGACACGCTGTTAAATCTTGGCCAATGTTTTTTATTTAGTAATTGAGATATTTTCTTCATTTGGCTTGAATTGATACATTTTTATGATTTAATGGAACGATATGATGATACAGCGTGATCTTGGTAGAGTAAAGGTCACATCTAGCGCAAATTACTGCATAATTCCAAAAGGTTTCTCAGTTTTCAGGAATTTCCCGGAGAGTAGACATCAAGTATTACAAGCACATCTCGCCCCTCATTCACCCCTTCGCAGTCATTGCCCCTCTTGAAATGTATGGCCATCTACAGTTCTTGAGCGGCAATGACATTCTCGCACTCTTAATACAAAAAAAAAAAAAAAAAATACACAAATAGATGTTAATTATTTTAAATAGAAAATACCTTGGTTGCAAGATCCTTATGGGTGACATTATAAAGATAAATGCTGGAAGTTGTAGCCACATAAAGAAAAGTTTCCTTGGAAACTGTCTGGAAAGCCAAGCCTGTCACAGGTTGAGTTCCTTCCTTCAGAATACGTTGTTTACTTGACCTGTCTCGTCTTACATCCCCTGCACAGACATCTCATCAATAATTGATGCAATACTGTAAATGTTTGTGATTCTTAAAAATTGCACTAGAGCTGCTGCAAGCTTGAGATTTTCATTTTTTTAGTCGAGCTTTTGAATTATTGTGTCGAAATGCCTTACAATAGGTTTATGTGTCCCAATTCTTCCTTCAAAACACAATTTAGATAAGCTAAGATTGATTATTGACTTGGTGCTCGATACGAGTTTTCAGGCTCGGCTTGACTTGAAAATTGAGCTGCTTGCACATCTTTAATCAAGTCATGCCTTCCTCACAGAATTTTTTTTCTGGAAAACCAAAAGTTACCTTATAAACTACATTGAGTCTGTGAAAAATTTATCAATCAGGACCAGAAATGTGAGTATCAAGTAGCAAAATCCCTTTTTTTGTTCAAATAATTATTCAAAATAACAAGAAACGGTAGTGCGGGTAGGGTTTTTGAGTACATGCTCATCCCAGCCACGTCATTAATTAATTGACACGATCTACGACTAAGTGAAAAAATGTAGCCAAGTAGAATAAAACTCCCAAACACTTCCATACTACAAGGTCTTCTAAAAGCTATCCAATTAAAACTACGTGTGATATACTAACTCGGTAATAGAATTCACACATTTCAAAACTAAATAATTTACAGCATCAGCTACACACCCTGATAAATGACGACTGAGCCATCTATGAAGCCCACAGCCATTAGAGTTAGGGATTCATTGAGACACAGACATGAGGTAGACACTGCCTTGTTTGGTAGATGAGCTCTAGTTATGCGGACACAGGTAGGGTGACCTTGACGATCCAACTTGTCCAAGTCCCACACCTTCACCAGGGGATTGACCCCTACCTCATCTTCCTACAACACATAGACACAGACATGAGGTAGACACTGCCTTGTTTGGTAGATGAGCTCTAGTTATGCGGACACAGGTAGGGTGACCTTGACGATCCAACTTGTCTAAGTCCCACACCTTCACCAGGGAGTTGACCCCTACCTCATCTTCCTACAACACATAGACACAGACATGAGGTAGACACTGCCTTGTTTGGTAGATGAGCTCTAGTTATGCGGACACAGGTAGGGTGACCTTGACGATCCAACTTGTCCAAGTCCCACACCTTCACCAGGGGATTGACCCCTACCTCATCTTCCTACAACACATAGACACAGACATGAGGTAGACACTGCATTGTTTGGTAGATGAGCTCTAGTTATGCGGACACAGGTAGGTGACCTTGACGATCCAACTTGTCCAAGTCTCACCCCTTCACTAGGGGATGGACTCCCACCTAATCCTCCTTCAACAACACAGTCCATCTTTGAAATCCAGGGCTTGGCAATGGCAGAGTGCGGTTTCGGGTTAGAGATTTGCGGTTAAGAAAAAAAAGACCTAACCAACAAGTAGTGTTCTGAGATTCTCTGTTACTTTCGGTTGAGCCAACAATTGGTTCAGGCTGGAAGTACTTTCGGTTGAGAAAACAATTGGTTTAGGCTGGAAGTACTTTCGGTTGAGCCAACAATTGGTTCAGGCAGTTTTTACAGAATTTTCTATTTGGATTGGTTTATACTACACCAACCCTTGTCTTTAAATCATGCTATAAAGTATTTTTGAGGTAATGGAGTAATGGGACGTTTTACAAGTAAAAAATATATTTATACAACAATGGAAAATTATAAGTAGCCAATTTAAGTTTAAACCCTCCTAAACACTTTAAATAGCTACCATACTTAGGGTAAATGAAGATCTAACAACAAAAATCAAAAAGTAAATGTTATAATGACTAGAGGTGTGCCAGCCTGATATTTTCAGTCAATCTCTTGAGTCAAGCCAAACTCGAAGTGATATGGTGATCATCTACCGCGGTTGACGAAACATCATCATCGTCTTCTGGGATTGCTGCAAAATCCTGCAAATCTTTCTCAGTCTCGGAAACATTATCACTGTCTCTCACAGACATGTGGACATTATGGTCATCTTCCGCGATTGCAACAAATTTGAAAACATTTTTCGTTGGTGTAGACATTATCGTCTTTTGCGGTTACGGAAATGTCAACGTCGTCTTGCGCGATGGCAGCAAAATCATTAAACATCACCCGCAGCTGTATAGATATCATCATTGACTCCGACAGTCACAGAAATGTCAACGTCGTCTTGCGCGATCGTGGAAAATACACGACATGGCCATAAAGAAATCATAATCTTCTCTCACAGTCACGGAAACGTCATCATCATCATCATCATCTTGCAAAATAATAAACATCTCCCGCGGTTATCATCAACATCATCAACATCGACTCTAGCGGTCACAGAAATGTCATCGTCATCTTCCGGGATCGAGGCAATAGCGGTCATTTTCTGATCACACGGGCGTGACGGGTATCGGTGTCAACTTTTAATGATTGCTTTTCGATACCGATACCAACGTTTAAGTATCGGTGGTAACGAGAATCAAAATATCCCTAATCAATACTATCTAAAGCAACCTGATTTCCCAAATTAAATAAGTCTGGCCTGCAGACACCTACCCACAGGACGGTGTTACGAATGTAGCTTGTCACAAATTTTGCAGCCTGGTACCCAGGTGCTGCCTGGTGCTGCTAGCCCACTGATGCTTTAGGAACTCGTTGAATCTCATCTGCGAGCGCTAGTATCATATTCTGTCTTCAGTGGTACACAGTGATATGGTGGCTGAGTTGATTATTACATTGCACTGACTTATAAAGCTTTGAGGTCTTTCTACATGGCAGGTTCAGTTAAATAGGGACTATAGCATTGAAATACATTCTATGCCATAGGAGTCAAACGAAATACTGTAACCTAAAAAAGCTGAAATAATGAAAAAAAATACCTTCGTCAAAGGGTTAAATAATAGAATTGACACATATACTCACTCCGATCGTAACAAGAAGAGGAGATTGCCGTCCTTGCTCCAGAATAGAGATGTTGCGATCATATGCTCGAAAGGTGGAGATTTCATATGTTCTACTGACAATGTGAACATTACCGTCTGAGTCGGCTACGACTAGTGAGCCTCTTCCGCTGGTTGTGGCGGTTATTTTCACATCCTGAAAATAATAATGTGTTAAACTTACATGTTCTCTTCCACTCGTATGTAGGGTCTAGCAGCACTTGGTACTATTAGTATGTTGATTCAACATTGCCTCCAGGATTGATTTAAGACAAATTCAAATTCAAATAGTTTATTGCCATTAAGTATACATGTCATACAATAGGCCAGGTCAATGGAGATAATATACAATTCAAAGTACAATGTACAGAGTCAAGTGTAAATAGATGAACATGCTATACTAATAAACTAATAATACTGGGTTTTTGTACAAAAGTATTTGAGATGTATTGGTAATGATGATAATAATACTGTTTATAGTTAAGCAAACAAGTTGGGTAAGTGCCTATAACAAAATAATTAAGGCTAAAATTGGCAGTAAGATACAGCTTAAAACTAAATAACAATAAATTTTTAAATAAAGTTCACAGAAATAACATTATTATGAAAGACTATTATATCACAGTTCATGAAACCATTATTACATACTTTAGAAACAATACCCTACTTAACAATTAGAATTTTACAGAAAATCATCATGTTTGAAAGATAAAAATTCCTCGATAGAGTAGATAACCTTTCTGTTCAAAAAATCGGTCAATACATTTTTCAGTGACTTAATAGGCAAGTTGCGTACATTTTCAGGGAGGGCATTGAAAAGTTTAAGTTGTAAATATTTATAGCTGCGCTGTGTTGAGGCCAGTCTTAATGATGGTAACTCTAAATTATTCCTTAGTCTGGTGTAATGATTGTGAGTTAATGAGCGAGATGAGAATTGTTCAATATTTGTTTTTACAAAAATGATATTCTGCAAAATGTACACACTTGGTAAAGTAAGAATTTTGTATTCAGGAAAAAAGGTCTTACAACTAACTCTACTTTTTATGCCAGCTAGGATACGGATTGCTTTTTTCTGTTTTTTAAAAACGTTAACTGCCCCACTACTACTGCCCCACAAAATTACCCCATAAACTAAGTGACAATGAAAGAATGCATAATAAACATTAATTAACGTACTTAAACTAACATGATTTTTCAACCTCCTGAGCAGAAACAAAGAGTTACTTAACCTTGCAACAACCATTTCAGTATGACTACGCCAAGATAACTTACAGTCTAATATGATTCCTAGCAGTTTAGCATTTGATACTTCAGATACAAGATTTGTCTGTGAAAAAATAATTGAAACAGTTTTGTCATTGTTTACTGAAAATTTATTTGCCTTAAACCAACTATCGGCTGCTATTTTCATCTCCTCAGTTTTAATTTTTACCTCTTGCAAAGATTTGCTTGAGACTATTAAGGAGGTGTCATCTGCATACAGTACTGATTTTGAAGGAAGATTAGATGGAAGATCATTTATTGCAATTAAAAACAAAAAAGGGCCAAGTACAGAACCCTGGGGTACTCCTGCTGTGACTTCTTTCCACTGAGAGGTTTTATTGTTGGCTGATACCATCTGATATCTGTTTCCTAAATATGATTTAAATAGATCTAAAGTTTTATCTTTTACACCATAGTAACTTAACTTATCAATCAACAGGCTATGAGAAACACAATCAAATGCTTTACTTAAATCTACTAAAGTTAACTCTAAAAAGGCGTGTGATTCAAAAGCATTCAGAATGTCATCAACAACTGACTTACAAGCATCGATAGTTGATAAACCGGCTCTGAAGCCAAACTGGGAGTTGCTTAGAAAATTATGATTACTAAAAAAGGCACTTATTTGGTTATAAATACAACACTCAATAACCTTAGCAAATACCGGGACAAGCTCAATCGGTCTGTAATTTGATGGACATGAAGTGTCGCCTTTCTTGTGAATAGGCACAACTTTTGTAAGCTTAAGATTATTTGGAAAAACACCATTTTGTAAAACTAAATTGATAATGAATGTCAGAGGGGGAACAAGAGCATACTTGAGTTTTTTTACAATGTTTGTTGTTAAACCATAACAATCCTTGCTGGTGGAGTTTTTCAGATTATTGATGATTAAGTCTATATCTTGTGGAAATACATGCTCCCACATGAAGTTAAGATTTTCAGTATAACATTGCTTTGGATGATTATTAAGTAAATCAAAAGAACTAGGCCTATTTGAGTTGCAGAGTGCATTGTTGTTTGAACCATCAAAATTTGCTACATTGACAAAAAAGTCATTGAAGTTGTCAACATCTATAATAGGGTTGGATTTATTTTTATTAAAACTACCAGATTCAGACTTTATAATATTCCAGGCCTCCTTACTTTTGTTATCACAAGTATTGAGTTTATGGTCATTAAACTTCAGCTTTGCCTCTTTGATCTTGCTTTTGTACATTTTTTTGCACCTAACATAAAACTCTCTATTTCTATTTATATCACCTTCTACCATTAATCTGTTGTGAAAAATTGTCAAAAACTCCCTTATCTTTGCAAGTTCAGGTGTAAACCATTTATTTTTATTTTTCTTAGGTCTAGAGTGGATTTTACTGGATTTAATTTTTTTTACAGGACAAAACTCATTGAATTGACAAAGAACTACATTTAAAAAATAATCAAAGGCCTCGTTAACATCATTAATACAAAACAAGTCACTCCAGTCAGTGTTCAATAAACATACATTTAACCTACATAAACTATCATTAGTTACTTTACGAATTTCTATGAGATCATTATTTTGACTAGATCTAGCATTAACAAAGCCATCTAAAATATTCATATTAAGTGAAAAGTGGTCAGAAATTTTATAAGGAACCAAGTCTTGAACAAATTTGGTGAAATCAATATTTGTTATAAAGTTGTCCAGGCAGGCCTTATTATGAGTGGGCTTAAAATTTGTCAATCTTAAATTAAAAGAATTTAATAAATTAGAGAATTCTCTGGATTGAGGACTATCAACGAGTATGTCTATATTAAAGTCCCCACCAATAACAAGGAATTTATTTTTAAACCTGGAGTCAACCCAAACTAAAAATTCTTCGAGTCTCTCTAAAAAATCATAAACACAGTAGTCTGGCGTTCTGTACAGAGAAATAAAAAGATAAACGTCACTCACAAGAAGACAATATAAAATGGGTTTACATACCTTACATCGTCAATCCTAGTATGGTCTCAGGCGACTAGTTTTGAAACTGAAGTTTCATTTTTAAGCTTTGTCATCTAACATAAAATTATTTGAACATGATGTTGTCGTCAAAATACACAAATATAACATTTAACACACACGGATGGTTGGGCAGTGACTGTGCTTTCAAGCACTTTCACATGTGCCGGGCCAGTATGTCCCCGAAGCACTGCCCTCCTACTCACTCACTCAAGGGCAAAAAGTGTGCGTCCCAAATGGGCATTCCCTCATCTGCCTCTTCCATCATCATTCCCCCAAAGGATCAGGGTGCTAAACTGGCAGGCTTCTTTACTGTACCTATTTTTCTCCCCGCTATTTTAATACTTCTCTCTCAAAAATCTGCCTCCAACAATCCTTTTCTCAGCTTTACTTTCATTTCCCTATTTAATCAACCCCAAGTCAAGGTGGAACAGCATACACCGAGGACTGCATGGTCAAGTGGAGCTTGGCCACTAGTATGCGAACTCCGGATACCAGGCGACCTCCAGTTTCAAGCAGCCTTCCCCGGGCAAGTGGGGCTCTGCCCGGGGCGACTCTTCATTCCCTTGCTACTTGTGGGATCATACATCTGAGGTGGCTACAAGGCCCCATGATGTTATCCCTTGAGAGCATAACGTTCCCTCCCAAGAGGTGACCACGCCTCAGGGAGGGGATGCCATCAGAGGAGGGAGGCCTCCTTAACAACGAGGACTATAAATAGCCTTGTTCAGGGGCAGCTTTGCCCTAGGATATATCCCAATTTGTTGAAGGGAAGCAAGAGCGGTATTTCTCCTGGAAAAAGGGAGAGACCCAGCCCAGCCTATGTCCTACAGGCCTATATGCCTTCATGCTCAAGGCATATAGGCCTTCGTCTTTCATGCTTAAGACAATGGAAAAAGTAATTATCCGTCACATTAGGGACGTTTAATTAGAAGAAGTCCCCTCAGTGCATGTCAGCATGCATTTATGAAGGGCAAATCAACTTCAGCGACCCTAAGCATCCTAGTGGCAAAGATTGAAGACACCCTAGAACACCAGGAATTTCTAGCAGGGGTCTTCATGGACATACAGGTTGCCTTTGATAATGTGAGCTATAACTCCATAGATGCAGCAGTCAGAAGCAGGGGCATCCCCCCCTGACATAGCATCTTGGATTAAGACTCTACTGAACAGCTGGGAGGTGACAACAGAAATAGGCAGCTATTCAGCAGCAATTGCAGCACACTAAGGTTGCCCTCAAGGAGGAGTCATCTCGCCATTGTTGTGGATGACCTTTTGAGAGAGGCAGATTGGAGAGACATGTATCCATCGTGAGAGCAGACGACTCGCTCAAGCCCAAGCCTATTGAGAAAAATAACACTCACACCATCGTAAACTATCGCAAGCACCAAGATATTACTATTTGTGCTCTTAATGTCCAGTGCCTAAGGAATAAAAGTGAACTTGTGTCCATTTTTGTAGAAGAATGCAATATCCTTTGTGTCTCAGAGCATTGGCTAGCAAATGGCGAAGAGTGTTATTACACAAACTTAGCTAACCTCAAACTTGTAAATATTTTCTGTAGAAGTGAAAGACTCCATGGTGGTGTTGCTATTTATAGTACCTGTGACCTAGCATGCAAACAAATAGACACTGTGAGATTCTGTGTAGAACTTGAACTTGAAGTGACTGCAGTCCTGTTGTTGGACTTCTCAACTGTTGTGCTGTCTGTGTACAGATCCCCAGACGGTAAAGTGGACCTCTTCCTTGATCTGCTGGACTCCTGCTTACACTACCTGCTAAACACTCTCAAACCTGAGAAAATAGTCCTATGTGGAGACTTGAATATTCACCTCGAGTGTCGCTCCAGAGATGAGGAACTGTTCTCAAACCTACTTCGCAGCTATGGGCTATACTTCACTACCAGACAA